GCCTCTGGAAGACTTGAGATTTCTCTTCAAAAAGCAAGACTCCAGTGCCACTACAGGGAGCATGGAAATCTGAACTGCTCCTCATATTTGGGCTAATAGTAAAGGTTAACAGTCATTAACTCTTTTCTCATTTTCTGATAGTTTTTCTTTCTTCAATCCAGCCAGTGAGCCACAGCGTCCCAAGGTAGTTGGAGAGCACACAGTACTCAGTAGGTAGGGTCTACAGCCCCTTGTGTCTTGAAGAAGCTATGGGAGACAGAAACCTCCACTCCTGCAGCACCCCATAAAGAATTATGGGTATTTGTGTCTCTCGGGGGGAAATGAGAAGGAGATTAAGATGTTGCATGGGTGGCTGGGGAGGCAGGTGTGACCTGTTATATGCAAGATCCTGGATACACGTGCAGAACGGTTCCCAGATCCCTGCGCATGGACTTCGCACAAGAACTCCAGCAGGGCTTCAGTAAAATGACCTAGACCTGACCTCGGCCTGGGGTGTGGGATCCCAACACCACCTCTACCTGTGTGGAAAAGTTCTCGTGGGTTTCCTCGAGATTTGAACAGTATGAAAGGACACAGACACCAGGAAGAGCTTGCTATCATGGCTTTACTCACAATACCCTGCCCTGCTTCCTACAAGGTGTACTTTTATCTTGCTTTTTCCTCTTTCACTCAGCCCAAGCTCACTCTGCAGAGCCAGTTTCTCCCTCGTTCTTCACTTTTATTTTTTTCAAATTTCAAATAAACCTGTCACTGCTTAAAAGAAAGAAATATCCATCCAAGAAAATGGAAAAGTAAGTAGATTATAGAAATGGAGTAAAAGTGCTAGGCAACATTAAGGACACCCTAGATGGCTTGGTCAACATTTCAAATGAGACCAGATATTTCAAGATTCTAAACCAATTGCCTAGATTTGACATTGACATTTTTATTACAATGCATCTCTTCTTTTTTGTTTTGTTTTTTTGGGTTTTTTGCGGGGGGGTGGTACCAGGGATTGAACTTGGGTCCTTGCACTTGCAAGGCAGGCCACCAAACCACTGAGCTAAATCCCCGGCCCAATGCATCTCTTCTTGATAGCATGTAGATAGGCTTTGTTTTTCTCTAGAAATTTCTGACTTTTAGTTGGAGTGTTTATGTACATTTAGTACTATATTAATATGGACATGGTTGGATTTAAATCTTCCATTCTATTATTTTTCCCAACTGTGTTTTTTCTTTCTTGCCTTCTTCCATTAATAGGTTTCTTTGTTTGTCTGTTTGTTGGAGAGAGGGCATAGCTATGTAGCCCTTACTGGCCTTGAACTCACTCAGGCTGGCCTCAAACCTGCCATCCTGCTTCAGCCTGTCAGTCACTAGGATTACAGGTGTTGTCACCACACCTGGCTAGCATTCTGTTATTTCTCTTTTTAGCTGTTCTTTGCTCGAGGTATCAAATAACAGTCTGGATATGGTAACGTAATCAAGAAGGTAGGCAGAAATCCCAGACAGATGAGCTTACTCTCAAAATTTGCATTTAGAATCTACACAAATCTTTGGCCAATCATTGTACATTTACAGAGAAAGACCTTGGAGTCCAAAGAAAAAGAAACAGTAGCTGGAAGCTGTAAAAAATATTATTTCAGCTGCCACTAAAATGCTGTGGCTATAGAGAGGTACACTCTGAAATTTGAATTCAGCCAAACTAACTGCCTATTAAAATAAAAATCACTCTTCAGAGAAAAGCAATAAAGTCCAGAACCTCTCCAATGTACCTTTTGTAATAAACAAATGAAATTTGAAATATATATTTGGAGAGCCAGGCATAGTGGTACAGACCTTTAATCCCGGCAATCGGGAGGCTAAGGCAGGAGGATCACTGCATGTTTGAACTACATAGCAAGACCCTATCTCAAAAAATGAAACATACATGTGGAGAAACAAAATAACAAAAAAAAGGTTCCATACTCCCAGAGAAAAAGAAAGTCCATTGAAATCAACCCCATAATAAATACTGAGATATTACGGTTAGCAGAGAACTGTTTTTAATATAGCCATTATAAATAAATTGCATGACTTAAAGGGAAATATATGAGTAATAAATCAACAGATCAGAGAATCTAAGCAAAGACACAAAAAACAAATGGCCTTGTTAAGCACATATCTCAGCACAAGTCCCTTTGGAAGCCATACTAGATGCTTGGACTGCAGGGAATCCTCACCTGGCCATCCTACAGTGTCCTGTAGGCTTTAGCCTGGACTCTTGGGAAGCCAGAGTTCTAACAGGATTGCTGAAACCATGGGTTATGTAGAAGAGAAATCTCTCTGTCTGTGTCTGACGGTCAGTGTGGTGGATGGGGAGAGGACACTGGTTGGGTAGAACAGACTAATCCTTCAACCCTGAAGCTATCCTTGCTTGTGGGGCTATGGAGGAATGGAGAGATGTCATCACAGATGTTCCCTGAAAGTTCCAGAGATGAATGTGTATACAACCTGTCCTCACAAATGATGTCATTGTCTGGTGAGGGAAGTAATCTCTTATTAATGTCTGTCATTTCCCATGCTGCCTGCCAAGACGCAGCCATTCCTTTATTTCCTCAGAATCCTCCCACTCTGGCAAATCGTGGGCAGGAATTACAGAACAAGCACTTCATAAGGCAAAGGCAAACCAGATTAATCCATAAGTACATGGGACTAAAGGAGCCAAGGGAGACCCCTGCCTCAGACTCCCATTCATTAAGTTTTCAGCATATACTCATTAGGCATTCCACCATGCCAGTCTCTGTCCAGATGTTGGCACGGAGGGTAGAATCTCATCCCTGTCTTCACAGACCTCATGGTCTACTAAAGGAGACTGTATAAAAACATGTAGGGTTTGGAACTAAGAGTGGAAAACCATCCCCCAACATGGATAATCTTTCCATGTTGCTGAAGCAAACAAAGCAGATTTGGGACAGTAAACAAAACAAAAGTATGCATCCATTAGTTCCACAAATACCTCCTATAGTCAGGAATGGTGGTTCCACGACGGTAATCCCAACACTCAGGAGGCTGAGGCAGCCTGCACTACATAACAAATCCTATCTCAACTAAAAACAAAAATAACATTTCCTGTATACCTCCGCCATATTGGGTCTCTGCTGCTGGAAGCTGTTGTGGGTCAGTAACTAGGATGGCTGCCCTCGTGGGTCTCACAGTCCATCAGGGGAGATGGTTACATCATGGACAAAGCTGTGATGAAAAAGTCGAGGGGGAAGAAGGAAAGACAGAAGGCAAAGGGGAAACTAGAGACGTGTGTTTTGGCCCTTTTACAATAGTGAAAGTTGCCTGGTCAGTATATTCATCTCAGGATCAAGTCTACCTTTTCCATAGATGTCCCCTCCACTTCCTCTATGAAGTTTTAACTGACTCACTACTTTTGAAAAAAAATAATAATAAAGCCTTTAGACAAATTCAATAGAGTTAACCAAAGGATGATTTATAAATCAGTCAACACTTGGAACCAGTTCATTTTGGTTTTTTGTTTGTTTTGAGGCAAGGTCTCACTATGTTGTTCAGCCTGGCCTTGAACTCACAGTGATCCTCCTGCCTCGGGCTCCTAAGTGCTGTGTGCGCCACTACACTCAGCTTCAGAACCATTTCCAAAAGACTCCACAGAAGCAGATGGAGGGATCATATTTAAAAAGAGTAAAAAGAACTGACCAATGAGAAACAAGTGAGGTACAGAGACAGTTGTGTTTCTTTGGTGTTGGTGATTCAACCTGATTTGAACAGTTGGCTGCCTGTAATTGGCTGTAGTTCAACTGCCGTGGTTGACCAAGACTCAACCACTTGTTACAAAGCCAGATTCCTAAATTTGGCTTGTTTACTTCCTGAGTTAGCTTGCAGTGTACTACGGTGAGGACCTTCTCTGCCAATTTTAGTTTGATTCAATGCTGCATTTTTCAACACTACTGTCACTCTGCCTCTGAAGAGCCTCAGCTGTTATTATCTTTACCTCGTTATTTTTGGTGGTTCAGCTTCCCTCCACCTGTTCCATTTCTGCCCCCAAGGGCAGATGTATTTTAATTCAGTTCTGATGCTGCTTGTTCAGGGCAGACTCCACAAGTTTAAGGGCTCATCCGCTGACATCTGTCACTTCAGAAGCCAGGTGCCAATCCCAGGGGCCACCGACACTCCAGTTTGAGCAGCTCTAAATTCAGGGGCTCTCACCACCTACTCAGGTTTCATGATTCTCTAAAACAATTACAGTGAACCTTTTAGAGCTTTCAGTGACACAAACAGCCCACTGTGGCACACGTGCCATTGGTTCACCATCACTGCCTTATATGTACTTACAAGTTTATTATACAGAATATAACTCACCTGGGTGTGGTGGTGCATACCTGTATACCAGCTACTCCGGAAACTGAGGCAGGAGGGCTGCAACTCTGATGCCATCCCAGGCAACATAGTGAGACCCTGTCTCTGTTTTTAAAGGGCTGGGGATGTAGCTCCATGGCAGAGCACTTGCCTAGCATGCAGGAGCCCCTTAGGTTTATGGGATAGGGGACACAACTGGGAAGTGGCCTAATTAAGAGAGCAAAGGAAAGATCAGCAAGGATTCCAGATGCAGAGCTTCTGTGCCCACCCTCTGTGGAGTCAGCATGTGTCACCCTCCCTGCACACTGCACTGTTCAACCAATAAGCCTCAGTATCCCAGGCTCTCTAGGGTGTTCCCCGCTAGTCACGATTCACAAGTCACTGGGTGAGTAACTGAATGCAGTCTCCACTCCCCACAGAAGCCTCTTCATTTCCAACCTTCTGATCACATGGTTGGTCTTTCTGGCAATTTTGAAGCTACCCCATCACGAAGGTCAGGAGCAACCCACTCTCAGCTGCCTCCTTAGCATAACAAAGACCCTACAGCACTTAGAAAATCACAAGCTTTTGTTTTGGTTTGGTTTTGGTTTTTGGATTTTAAACTCTGTGCTAGGGACCAGGGACAAGGGATCAGATATACTCCATAATATACCACATCACCCCAGACAACTGTCTTGGAGTGATCTTGAATTTTTATCTAGAGACAAAATGTGCTGTCATCCACATTTAACAGCAGTATGTATCTGAAATTTGTCAGAAGTTTTAGACCTCTTTTATCAGCATTGTTTGCATTGAGAATTTGAGTTCAGATTTCCTAGCACAGATCTTAGGCAATTGCTTTTTAGAGATTCTTCTTCCAGGCTGGTTGTTGAGATTTCCTCAGCGCTCTTTCTGACCTTGGAAGACAGAGTTTTAGATAAATATTGATTATTATGTATCCCTCTAGCATTTCTGTGAGTTCTTAGTATTTACAGTTCCTCCTTATTTTGTCCTGACCAAAATCCAGGAACTTTGTTAAACACTTGAGTTTGCCCAGTCATCCTGAGACCAGAACAGAGATAGACTCCCAGGTTTTCAGCCCACACTGGTAACCACCTTAAAGGAACTACACACTTAATGCTGACAGGAAGCAGTGGCTTAAGCAGCAACCAAAGGTTGTCTAAACGTCATGTTTTGATGGGAACAATAAAAATGTAAATACCACTTGCCAGAAATCTGCCTACGATTGGCTACTCTAGGTACCTTAGTCTACCAGAGCTGCCATAACAAAGTTTAACAGACTGGGTGGCTGAAACAACAGAAATACATTTCCTCATGGTTCTGGGGGTCAGAAATCAAAGACCAAAGTGTTGTCAACCTTGGTTTGGGGTGTGGGCTTTCTCCCTGGCTGATAAATAGCTGCCTTCTTGTATGTCTTCATATGGGTTTACCACTGTGTGCACAGGGTCACTTTCTGAACTTGAAAGTGTTAACTGAATGAAGAACTGTCATAAAACATACAAATTTGGGGAAATTAGTCTGCCCAAAAGAGTCCAAGGCTGATTTTTTTTTTTTTTTTTTGGTAAATAAGTCAGCATGGCTGCAGAGTTTATGAGGTATAGAATTCCCAGGAAAGGTACTAATAGACAAAATTTCCTCAAGTGTCATGTGACAGCTAAAGCTCACCACAGAGACAAAGGCTGATAATTTTCAAAAGAAAGTAAGATGGTTCTCTAGGGCTGGGGATTTAGCTCAGTGGTTCAGTGGCCTGCCTTGCAAGCGTAAGGACCTGAGTTCACTCCCCGGTACAAAAAAAAAAAAAAGAAAGTAAGATAGTTCTCAAGCAGATATAGAATGAACACGTGTCAAAGATTTGATTTAACTCATCTTTTACACTTGATCTTAGCCAAAAGGCCGAGAAGCGATTAACTCATCTTTTAATAAGAGAAAAAAGAGGCTACAAATGGCTCCCCCCAAAAAGTCACATATTTACATGGAATAGAGTGTTGAAAATCTTTTTGTCGGGCAGGGGATTTAGCTCAAGGGCTGGGGATTTAGCTCAGCAGTTCAGTGGCCTGCCTTGCAAGCGCAAGGACCCGAGTTCAATCCCCCGTACAAAAAAAAAAAAAAAAATCTTTTTCTCACTTCCGTTATTTATGACTTAGAAAAAGCACGCAGCCCTCATAGAAATCAGATAATTCTGAGTCTCCAGAATTCCATCAGAAGGGAATCCATTGACCTCTTTTGCGTATTCCAAGGTTGAAATTTTCTTACATCAAGCAAATTTCTCCTCATACCTAACGCACAGGACCACTAGGAAAGACTCCAACACACAGGACCAGGGCCAGGACCGGAAGGCCAGGCCAGCGGTGAGATCGTGAAGGTATGAGCAAGTGGACATGAGCCAGCATTTCCCTTCCCGTGTGCACATTTCGCCTGCAACTCAAAATGTTCACACATTGGGAGGAGAGCTGTAAATCAAACCTTCCCCAGACTTTTTGCATATCAAACAATCACTAGCCAAGGCAATGGAAAAGAAAGATCTACTTCATGTCCTTCAGATCTACTTTACATCCATTGGACCTCTGCTTCCAGGAACAGTGAAACAGTATGCAGGAAAAGCCTCGAGAGGGAGAAAGAAGGCTGTGGCATATAATTAGGAAGACAGCCGCAGAGTAAGAATTACTGTGGTACTGGTCGCACCGATGATGGTGGTGAAGATGAGAATGACAGTGATACTGATAGAGATGACAGTCACTGTGATGAGGGTGGCGGAGGAGGTTAGTGGAGACAGCAGCAGCACCGAGAACCTTTTAATGCTGGCCCTTTTTTGTGCTTCTAGCTCCCTGTGTATGGCCAACCTTTGGAAACAGTGATTTCTACCTTCACAGAGAAACCATGGAGTAGACTGGCAATGACAAGATTTTTTTTAAAGTATGTACTGTAATCACATTTATCTAAAACTGTGTCTTTAAAAATATGTACTGATCCAGGCATGGTGCCATGCGCCTGTAATCACACCACTTGGGAGGCTGAGGCAGAAAGATCACCATTTGTTTGAGGCCAGCCTGGACTATATAGTGAGTTCAAGGCCAGCCTGAACTACACATGAAGACCCTGCCTCAAAAATAAATAAATAAGTGAATAAAACTTAAATTAAAAATCCATATTTATTGCTGAGTATGGAGACACATGCCTATAATCCCAGCACTCGGGAGGCTGAGGCAGGAGATCACAGTGAGTTCAAGGCCAGCCTGAACTACAGAGTGAGACCCTGTCTCAAACAAATACATATATAGATATACAGGTGGAGAGAGAAATCCTTGAAATGAGTCAATAAAATGATGACACTCTGACATTTAACACTTCCTCTTTTTTTTGTATAGTTTTCAAATTTTAGCATGCAGCATGCATTTTTATAACCAGAGGAAAGTAAGAAGCAAATACATAACTCAAAATGGAACCAAAAAAAGAATTGCAATATTGCTCTTCCCGTAATTCCCCACAGTTAAGATAGAAGCTCTGTCTTTCTCTCTTCCTCCCTCCTTTTCTCACTCTGTCTCTCCTTGTCTCTCTCCAGGACTGGTGATCAAACTCATGGCCTCGCATTTGCTAGGCAAGCACTCTACTCCTGAGCTACACCCCTAACCCTCACACTAATTCTGATTTTCTTTTCCTGTCCTCAAGTTTTTGAGATAGTTTAAAACTTAGACCCTTGACTTACAAACTCAATTGGTCCCGAGGGCTCGTTGTAACTCAGGTTGGTTGTGAGTCAAGACAGCTGAGATCTGATGTTTACCTAGGTACACACCTTAGATAACAAAAGCAGGTGAATCTTCCATTAACCTAATGAACCCAAGTTGTTTGTATGTCAGGCCAGTCATAACTTGAGGGTCCACTGTACCAAACTGAGTGGTACAAGAGAAATTTATTTCAGTTCAGGAAGCTAAGAAATTCAAGATCAAGACACCAGCCAATTCACTTTCTGCTGAAAGCTCATTCTTGTAGATGGATCCCATCTCACTGTACTCAAATGACCTCTTTATGCTAGGGAAAGAAAGAGTGGAAGAATGAGATCATTGCCTCACCCTTTGGATCTCATTTAATTTTACCTCTATAAAGGTGCCATCTCCAAATATAATCACAAGTAAAGTCATATGAATCTGAAGAGGAACAAAATTCACTCCACAACATGAGCTAAAAAGTACACAGCATAGTGCCTGATACTTAATGAGTGCTCAAACAGTGGGAAAAATTATAGCCAGGTGTAGTAGTGCACACCTATAATCCCAGCATCAGGAGGCTGACGCAGGAAGATTGCTTTGAGTTCAGGGCCAGCCTGGGCTACATAGTGAGTTACAGGTCAGTCTCAACTACATAGTGAGACCCTGTCTCAAACCGCCCCCCAAAATGGAAAGAACATAACAGTGTTATGATTTATATGTACTGTAGATGTCCCTACCATCACCGAAGCCTCATGACTTATAGATGGGGCTTTTGGGAGTGGCTGGATCATGAGTATGTGATACTGGATTATGGGTGTATGGTTCTGGATTAGTCCACTGATTGGTTTAGCATAGCTGTGAGTTTACTGAAGAGGAAAGACCTACCCTGGGTGTGGGTGGCACCAACCAATAGGCTTGTTTGGAATAAACCAATAGGCTTTAATGGAATAAAAGGGAAAGTAGAGGACAGGCTTGCTTCTTTTTGTCTGCCATGCTGTGGACTGTTTCTCCTCTGCCATGCCCTCTGTCCTACTGCCCTGCCTTGCCCTGCCAACAATGGACTGAAACCTCTACAAACTGTGAGCTAAAATAAATCTTTCCTCCTTTAACTTGTAGGTGTTGGGTATTGTGTTTCAGTGATGAGAAAAGTAACTAGTAATGATTTATATGGGAATTCTGTTGGGAAAATAAACTGTGACTCAGTTTCTCCTACTGTGCACTCTCCTACTGTCTGTGACCTTAAAAAAAAACATGGAGATTTCACCCCCCTAGCAAGCAATCAATCAACAGTGAACATCAGCCGGGTGTCCTCCACAGAGAAAAGTCACAGCCTCTTACTCTGCTTCCAAACTGAAGTCAATTTGCAGACCCAGAGTACCTCGACTGACTAGAAATCAGATCCCCTTGAGGAAGAATCCTGCACTGCTGCCCTACCATACATCTTCCTCTAACCCTATCCCAATGGGACCTGCGACCATGTACTATTGTGACAGTGCATTTGGGAAAAAGGAAATACATAGCTCTCTTGATTCTAGACACTGGCTCTCAACTGATGCTCATTTGGGGAGACCAAAGTGGGAGCATTTGGTAGTCAGGTGACAAATAGAGTCTTAGCAAAGCTACAGCATACAAGAGGACCAGCTGACCCATTATGGTTATTTTCTTGGTTTCTAAGTATATAACTTAGAACAGAAATACTTGGCAACTAGAAAATTCCCTAGGTTGGCTTGCTGACCTATACAGTTAGGGTCGTTATGTTGGGAAGAGCTAACTGGAAGTTCTTGGAATTTTCACTCCCTTCTGATATGGTAATTTGATACCAAACTACATTTCCAGAGAAATTTGAGGGATTGAAAGACTTGAAAGATGCCGGGCATAGTGATGCATGTCTGTAATCCCACCTACTCCACAAGCTGAGGCAAGAGGATCACAGGTTCAAAGCCAACCTGGGCAGCTTAGTGAGATCCTGTCTCAAAAAATGAAAAGGGATGAGGATGTAAGCTCAGTGGTAGACGCCCCTGGGTTTGATCCCCAATACTGCAAACAAAAAATTTTTTGAAAGAAGTACAGGTGTGGTTCCTATTCATCCCAATTTAACTCAGCCATTTGACTTGTGTAGAAGCCAGATGGATCATCCTGGAGAAGGGTGAATAATCAAACCTAATCAGGTGTGATTCCAATTACAGCTGTCACCCCAGATGTAGTACCTCCACTGAACATGACATCTTCCTCACAGCCACTGAGGAGCCTCTACCACTGTCTGCTATGATGTAATGACAAGAGTGACATCCCATGACTTTTGCTATATTCGCTTGGCTGGGAGAAATCATAGGTCTCAGGCGCTCTGCTGTGTTTCTGGGTGATGGTCAGCTGGGTGAAGCCAAAAGAGCACAAGAAGAGTCTCAGGAAAGTAAAGCACATTACACTCACAGATCCTACAAAGAAGCACTGCGTGTTAAGGAGGTCGCATGGGAGCCAGTTCCACCAAGCCTGCAGGCAGCAGAGAGTGAAGACTTGGCAAAAGCCTCCACTGGAGTCAGAGAGGTGAACACACGAGAAAACGCACAAGAGATTTCACCAGTAACTTTGACTGTTACTGGTCACGGCCAGGGGAGAATAAGAAGAAAAAAAAACTTGTGGCTGGGGGATTTAGCTCAGTGCTGCTGCCTGCCTCGCGAGCGCAAAGACCGAGTTCGATCCCCTGTACCAAACAAAACAAAACAAAACAAACTTGTGACACGAACCAACCTTATTACACTGGCGCACCTGGTCACTTAGGCAGGATGTTCACAGTGTTTGTGGAGACGATGAGGCAGCAAGAAACTAGGAAAATACCAATCAAGAGGAGGGAATTACACAAAAGATATGAACACCAGGAGCTAGAGATTCGGAGGTCATTTCCAGGTCTGCTTGACATAGAGCATCAGCCTAACAGTGAGCCAAGGGGGACACTTTTTAAAGAGTATGCAAAAAATGAAGCACCTATGAGAGAGGAGGCACAACCCTCAGAAATGCTAGTAAAGAAGACATGAATTTTCCAAAAGCAACAGGATTCTTTCAAGTTTACAAATTTTAAATCTGCAGAGTTGCATTAAGATCAGAGCTGGAAAATGACCTTATAAGGAGGTCCACGGGAAGGGGTACCGGGGACTGAATCCGGGGTCTTCACCCTGAACTACATCTCCAGCCCTCTTTTTATATCTTTGAGAGGAGGTCTCGCTAAGTCGTCAAATTGCCCAGGCTTGGCTCCAACTTGCAATCCTCCTGTGTTGGCCTTCCAGAGTGCTAGGATTACAGGTGTGCACCACCGATCCAGCTTCCAAGTGAACGTCCGATTCTAACCTTGGAAGTAGCCACAGCCCCCGAAAAACCCAGGACCACTAGGGGACGCTCTAGGATCACACACAGTGCCTACGCATGCGTACGACGTTTTACCCGCCCACAACGTTTACGCACGCGCTAAGACCCACGCGTGCGCACATCCATCAAGCGCACAAGGGGTTGTTTTTGTAGAAGCGCTCGGGCAGCTGGTGAGCCGAGGGAGAGGTCTGAGATGTCCGAGCTACGCGGGGAGGGCAGTGCTCCAGAAATGAGTGCAGTGAATGGCGTCAGCGACGTCCTGCAGACCGGAGTGGGCGGCAGGAGGCGGGCGCGAGAAGCCCAGGAAGCCCCCGTGGTCGAAGCTGCCTGCCCTATGGCGCGGGTGCGGGGCCTGGCTCCCAGGCCGATCCCCAGCCACGTCCCAGGCCTGATGTCAATGCCCGGCCTCCACGGGCACCTGGGCCTCGTAGGGATTAATCATCAACGGCTCTTCCACCAGTACCTGGAAAATTCCCCCATGATCCCAGTCAGGTTACTGCGAGACATCGAGGAACGCCGCAGGCTGTTTGTGGAAGGCTGCAAGGCGAGGGAAGCGGCTTTTGATGCGAATCCCCCCCAGATGGAGTCCGACGCCGTGGCTTTCGCCCTCGCTCTGACGGCCGCGGAGGCCGGCAGCCCTCTGGCTGACTGAATCGGCGATCAGGTGGGTGGCCAGGAGGTCAGGGGAAAAGGCGAAGGCAGGCCTGCGCAGACCTAGTTGGTAGTCGTTAGGGGGGAAATGCAAGCTTCGAAGAGAACACCAGTGCACAAGGAAACGAAGACACAGCCGGAGAGAGCTCGAAGGGCAACGTGAGACTGTTGGAGCTGCTTCCCGAGCGGTCCGGGGACACTCAGGACATCGCCTGTGACTGTGAAATCATCCGTCAGCATTTGTGGAAACTTTTGACACTGTTCCGCCCTAAAGGGGGGTTTCGCAAAGATAAGTTGTAAGAAAAATGGCCAGCGATAGAACCCAGAGGAAGAAGCCGAGATGACCAAAGACGTGAAGAAAATGCAGTTAGGAATCCACGCGTGTCTGAGTTGTTAGGATTGCAAGGCTCTTCAGAGACCCTGGGGAGTTCAGAATTTGTGGTCATCATATCGTCAGCTGCCAGCTCTTGTGTAAAATGAATTTCCGTGTTTTCTAAAAAATTGCAGATGAAGAGTAAAATGCTCAAGAAAACATGTATTTATTGTGAGATAAGTATATTTTCAAGATCATATGAGATTGGGTGGGTGTGGGAATAGATTTGTTTTTGTTAATGTTTAAACTTTTTATTTTATTCCAGACTCTGTTCACAAGACTCAAAAGACAAAGTATCATAAAATGTACTGTGAGAAGTTCCTGTTCCTATCCTCTATTAACTTGAAAACTTCCTGACAGTTTTCTTTGTTGGTGGCTTCGATGTTTTGTTCATTTGTATTTGGTTTGTTTTGTTTTGTGAATGACTTTCAACAACTTCCTAATGCATATACAAATTAAAATCTATATATTCTGCTTGTTTCTTTTTAAATCAAGGTGGCATATTACAAGGCAGCATAGTATCCACCTTTATCTTCATTTTGGGGCTTTTCACTTGCATTGGAGAGATTTGTATTTTGTTTGTTTGGTATCAGGGATCGAACTCGTGACCATGTGCTTTCGAGAACCACTGAACTAAATCCCCAGCCGTTTTTTTTTTTCTTTTTTTTTTTTTCCAACAACTACAATGCAAGGCTGTATTGTGATATAATGAAGTAGTCATCTTTTGCGGGTCTGGGTTGTTTTCAGAATGTTTTAGTATTTTCTGTGTATTTGTATGTGCTTACTCATTTTCCGTAGCGTAGGTGTCTAAAAGAGGAAGCTCTTGATGAAAGCGCAAATGCACTGGTGTTTTTAATGGTGTTACTAGAAAGCTTTGCCTTCCATTTTGCCAGTGATAAATAGGGCCTCTTTCTCCACAGCCTGGCCGGTCAGACTTTGGAGAATCAGACGGTGAAGCATCATTTCTGCCGTTCTAATTTGTGTTTCTCTAAGAGGGAGGACATACGTTTTCAATATATATGAGCCATTGGTTTCCGCTTCCCTGGAAACTACCCATCGTTTACATCATTCGTTTTTTTCCATCGGCTGCTGCTTTTGCGAGTCAGTTTGTGTTATCAGTAATGAAAGAAGTGAGCCCTTTGTGATGTCTGATGGGAAGAGTTCCTCACTTGTGACTGTTTCCCTCCCCAGCCCTCGGCCCCCACACAAATACAGATTGGGGATTAAACCCAGGGCCTTTGCACTGAGCTACACAGTGTCTCCACTCTTTTTTTTTTGAGACAAGGTCTCATTGAGTTGCTCAGGCAGGGCCTGAACTCCTGATTCTTGTGCTTCGGCCTCCCACAGTGCTGAGTCCCAGCATGTGCCACCCCCCAGCTCAGTTTGACTGCTTTTGAACCTTTTGCTATGCACAGAATTTGTTTTCATGTAGCTGTACATACTTAGTTGTTTTTTTTCTTTTGTGGCTTGTAGGCTTTTAGTCACAGTAGAAAAGGCTTTGCCACTACAAAACTGAAGCAATGCTGTGATTTTAAATGTTAACATTAAAATTGTTACTCGTTTGAAATATTTTAGGTTCTAGAAGTGTAATTCTACCCTCATTTGCTGCTTTTTTTTTTTTCCTATTTATTGCTTCTCGGCCTTTTGGCTAAGATCAAATGTATTTTTTCTGGCTGTTCAGATATTTTTCCCCCTATTGTGAGACTTAAGACCATCTTGATTCATTGCAGTTTTTACAAAAGTTGGTGCTATCTTTAGCTGGATTGCATCAAATTTATATGCTTTTGAGTGAAAATCAACGTCTTTGTGATGTCTTCCTATCCGGTAAGTCTCCATTTGTTCAAGTACTTTTTATGTCCCCAAGTATGTTTTAAAGTTTCTTTCATTGTAGGTATTGCATTTTTTAAAAAATATTCCAAGGGAAGTAAAAGGATTTAAGATGTGTTATGTACATGTACCAGCTCCCATGATGAGTGTAATCATTATGTACTGCAAACCTGTACTAATAAAAATTTTTTAAAAATATTCCAAGGTTAGTTTATGGCTACTGTGAATGAAGTTTCATTGTTTCTAAGTTGAAAGCTGTTGAGGAAAAGAGCCAGGCAGTGAGCCTCACCCCTCTCCCCTGTGGCCTTGCCAGCTGGGCTGCCTGCTCTTGGGTCTGTAGCTGCTGGCATCCACCCCCACCCGGCTGGGCCCTGGCCCCCTATCCCAGGATCCTCCTGAGCCTCAGTGGCCGGAGTTGTACTCCAGAGTTGCACTGTGTGTCACCGAGTCAAACACTCGTCGTGTGACTGAGTTCAGCCTGTTCCACTCAACTCACGGGTTAGGCTGATACTATGGGTCTCAAAGCCCAAATTCCTAATCATGTAGTTAATCTAAATATAGGATATCAATGAGGCTAAGTCTCAAAATGATGCTGAAAAGGACCTTTTAGAGTGATGTGTTTGGTATGATGAATGAAACTGAAAACGGAATTGTGTTTATAGGTAAGAATAATTGTACAAAGACTAAAAGAAGGACTAGAAAGGGAGATTTTTGTTTGGTCTTCTGATACAGGGTCTTGCCATGTAGTTCAGGCTGGCCTTGAACTCACTGTGTAGCCCAGGCTGCTCTCAAATGTATAGAGATCTGCTGGGCATGGCGGTGCATGCTGTAATCCCAGCACTTGGGAGGCAGAGGCAGGAAAATTGCCATGAGTTTGAGGCCAGCCTGGGCTACAAAGTGAGTTCAGAGCCAACCTGAACTACATAGCAAGACCCTGTCTCAAAAAACAATAACAACAAAAAGTATAGGGATCAACCTGCCTCAGCCTCACAAGTGCATCAACACACCTGGCTTAGGGGATACTGAATTCATGGGGCTGCCTCCAAGTAAAAAGTTTCTGTGAGCAAAGATTGAAAGACTTAGATGTGTGTATATCTGAGTGTGATTATTTAGGTTTACTGATTAGAAACAAGTCAGTAATGGGGAGTGAGACAGGTATTTCTCATATTGTCTATTCTCTCTCTCTCTCTCTCTCTCTCTCTCTCTCTCTCTCTCTATA